AATAATTCCCAGAAGATGCATTTATGTGATAGGGAGTTTAGGATTTTTTGCTGCTTCTTTCAAAAGTTGCCTACTCTTTCTCACTGCTATATAAATACAACTTCCACTATTGTTCAGTAGAAGAAAAAATGAAAAAAAAAAATAATGGAACGCTGTACTCCTGCAGAAGCTGAACCCCTTGGATCAGTTGTACCTTGAGTTCTGCTCCAAGGGCAGGATTGCTTTGAGAAAGCTACTTATCTATCTATCTGCATGCATGGGACAGAAAAATCATTGTGTCTTTTTAAAAGCATACCCATTATTTAGTGAGGTGGGTTATAGGCTGGATTACTGGGTGCAGAAAGAAAAAAAAACATCAGGCAAAAAGGAGATAGGAAGTGATCTCAAATGCTCTTGCCTGAAATGGTCTGCTTTGCACAAGCTTTTGTGATAGGAAAACACTTTTAAATCCTCTGAAAAAAGCAGTCTCCTGTATCTGGGAGCACCAAAAAGATGTGGAGAAAGCAGAAGGGAAAAGCATCATCTGTGCTGGATTGTCCCAGTGGCTGATAGGGAGTAGTGGTCAATTCTACATTGTCATTTTAGACCAAAAAAGAGGAAGAGAAGGAAATAGGGAAGGGAAAGAAAGAACCCCTCGCTTACACGTTTTGATTTTTTTTAATCTGTTAATAAATTCCTCCCATGATTTTCCATTGGTCATGCATAATTTCCCCTCCAGGGGAATGGGCCTCTGTGTAAGGGTAAGAAAGAAGGGAAAAATTGACCATTTCTTTTTTCTTGCTAGTAAATGCTCTGGGAACAGAGAGAGGTTCCTCTGGGAGTTGCAATTACTCCCCGTGGACGTTGGAAATGCAGCTCTGGTCTGACTGATGGCAAAACTTAGTTTTCTGCCAGTAGTGCCTTCTCTATAAATAGTGCAGCAGAGAAAAAAAAAAAGATGAAGTATTGCTTTGGGTTTCTTCTAGGAAAGAGATGTTTCCATGGCTGCAGCTTGGTACCTTAGGAATACTGGAAATATTCATCCCAGCGCCGTGCTGTGGCCATGTTTCATGGAACTGAAGTTGGTAAAATCTTGTGAATATTTGGGATTGGAAGTTAAGGAGTAAAAACTGATTTCTTACCTAAAACTTATTTTTAAAGTCTTCATATGGCACAACATGGTTAAAGAAAGCTTTAAGTAAAGTAAAATATTCAAGATTATATGCTCCAGGTTGTAATAGTTTTGTTGATTTTTAAAGGTCACTGCCTGTCTGTGAACAAGAATTGTATTATGAAATATTATCTGAAGAATCCTTCTATTAATGTGTTCTAAACCAAAGCCGCTTTTCTCTGAGTTAAAGGTTTGCAGTATATTGGCAGCCTTAGATAATTTGGAGTTTTGATCTCTGTTCTGTGCTGTAGAACTTAGGTAATTGTGCACAGGTTGCAGTCTATTTGCAGTTTTGCTTGGATCTGAGAATCATTTATATGTAAATGATGCTGATCTCTTGTTCTGCCCCTTCTAACCAATTAACTTGGTTTTAAAGCACACAGTTCTGTGAGCAAAATGAGCAACTGGCAGGGCTTCTGCAGCTTGGTGGTGATGGTGGTCATATTCACTGGGGCTCATTTCCAAATCGAGCAACGGAATGATCAGAACTTTGAGCTGAACTCAGTGCCGCCCTTGTCTCTCACTGTATTTAGGCCATGTCAGGTCAGCTCTTTTATGCCTTCCTATAATTTATGCTACATAAATGGCAGAGCTGTGATTTTTAAGACCAGAGAAAAAGCCCAGTATTACGAGAAAAAAGACAGAAGAACAAGCCCTCCAAGAAATTTTGGCAGCAATGCTAAGGGGTTTTGAAGGACAAAATATTTTACTTATTTATTTATTGAAAGGAAAACACTATTAAGTCCTTCACGTGTAACTGATACAAGAAGCTTGGCAGAGCTATTCCAAAGCCATCCTGCTGCAACATGCTCCGTGATTGTCAGTGGAAATTCAAAAATGCAGTACCCCTGCAAGCAGGTTGAGGGGAGCTCCTGGGTGCTCACTCATCGTGCTCGTAGAATCATTAAGGGTGGAAAGACCTCTAAGATCATCTAGTCCAACCATCAATCCATCGCCACAATACCACTAAACCATGTCCCTCAATGCTACATCTCCACGTTTCTTGAATACCTTCAGGGATGGTGAGTGCACCACCTTCCTGAGCAGTTTGTTCCAGTGAATCAATACTCTTTCTGACAAGAAATGTTTCTTAATATCCAACCTGAGCCTCCCCTCACACAGATTAAGGCCATTACCTCCTGCCCTGTGCTGCCTCTTTGTGGTCTGAACTGAACTCCGTACAATTCATTTTTAGGACTTCTGTTGTTTCTTAAGCTTCAACTAATCTTTCTTTTGCGTTGCCCCCTCAAGATCCATAGGCTTCCATATGCCTATATGCTTCCATATCGAGTTTCCATCGGCTTTCAAATGGCTGTAGAAATTATTTCAAGGCTAATTTACAGCATCTGCTGTTTCTATTTGATACTTCTGCACCTGTAGCACATGATGTAGCTCGTTTTGCAAATGGAAAATACCTTGTTATTACGTGACTAAATGGCTGAATTGCTGCACGTTGTGATTTATCAAACTAATCATTGTTATGAAGAAATAAAGTATATACTCCTGGCAAGGCCTGCTGTAATAAAACCAGATAAGTTTTTGCTGAAGTTCTCTACAAATTTTGATCCTCCCTGTAATGTCAGATGGAAATTGTGTGCTGCTTGGTGATCCTGCACAGCTTTGAGCAGAAACTAGAAGAAATCTGTCAATGTCTGCAGGGTTTTACTTTGTGTTTTTTGGAATTCATTCAAACCCGGTAGAAAGGAGGTGGTAGGAGAAAGCTGAAAATTTTGATGAACGAGCTTTGTGACTGCTGAAATGTCAACATTTCCCAAAACCTTGAGCAAGCCGTGTGCACGTATATGCACGCATGTGCACAAACCGCAGCCTCCTGTGCTGACAGGCACAAGTCTACTGCCAGGGCCCGTAACCCAAGTCAGGCCAATCCCACATGACCACAGCTAACCTGAAAGTGAAGAACAAGGAATTGGTGTGCAGGCATCTGATGTGCTGCTATGGCAGCACAAAAAGAGCAGCACTAAAGCCCGTGGCGTGGGAGTCCAGGAATTGGATCGGGCTCCTTAACTTGTGTCCTCATCTTCAGCTGACTTAGTGCCTACAGCACTACCAGTTGCCTTTTTGGAGGCTGGGCAAGAAGATAATCTCATTTTCCAAAACAATCACAGAGCTGGAATTTTTAAATTGAATGCTTTCTTGAGCAACAATACTGGTCCATCAGAAAATTACTTTTATTATGCTTCTGACTTAGAGTCTGTGTAGAGAATTTCTCGGAGTTGGACTGAAACTACAACCAGAGCAAGCGTGTGCTTCAGCTGCCACATTATTGATTCTCCTGGGGCAGAAGAACTGGTCTTTGCACAGGCAAATTACTTAAATCACACAGAAAAAGAAATACTTTCACATGGAAAAATTCCTGTTCTACACTAGAGGCAAGCATCTCTGTGCTTTAAATAGGTTGACTTGAACGAACATTTACCTGAACTCCAGTGACAGCAATATCATTATACATTAATAACTAATATGGCATTAATAGCGAGCATGGTCTGCTTCATCAGTGCTAAAAGAAAAGGTCTCGGCTCTTGGGAGCTCGCACACTGAGCCTGCTCACACAGCTGAGTAGCTGGGGGGTTGGTGCTCAGGGCAACAGGGTGATTCTCGCATTTAATTTTAATTTCTGGCTAGGCTGGCATTCACACATGGCTGTCTTTAATATAAAAACTCAGATTCCTTTTGCTGGATGTGAAACGACTTGTGTCACTGAGAGACTTGTGGCTGCAGGGAGAGATGGGATATTAAGGAGCTGTTGTGGCATGGAAATTTGAGGGGGACTGGTATCAGACAAGGAGGATTGCTATCCATAGGTTCTCCTTTGGCTTGCTCTGCCTATACTGCTGGGGAGATTGGTGGGACAGTTGTGAAAGTCTAGTATTTGGTGGGAGTAGAAGTGTTATGTTAAGAGAAGCGGGAGGACACTTATCTCTGGGAGATGGGAGAAGCAGCATCCTATATGAGCTGGGTATGGGGGAATGGTAGGACAATTGGAGGGAGCCTGACGTGGTTTTCCCACCTGAAGTTTCAGGGCAAGAGATGAAGAAGTCCATGCAAATCTGCAACCAGTGTCAAGACCTTGGTCTAATTAGGAGGCAAAATCTTCAGCGTTTACCACACTTAGTACAGCTGTGGCAGGGTGCAGGACAAGTTTCAAAAGACATTTCAAAAGCAAGTTTTCCACCTCTTGCTGCCGGATGCCCAGCCTGTTTAAATGAAATAGCCTCTGAGGATTACACCCCTGAGGATGTGGCTGGGTTACTGTGTGCCTTTGTGCTGCCACACAGCCTGCTGCTTGAGGGGCTGAGCACGGTGTCAGGACTGGGCAGCAAGGCATGAGGGAGAAAATGAGCAACTTACTCCAGAGAGTGTCCTGTGTTGATCCTTCCTTCTGCTGCCATTCTTCGTATTTTAGGAGATGGGTTTGTGGTGCAGAGCTTTTTTATTGTATTTTCCTGATCAAACCAGCTGGGCTTTCAACAACAAAAATAGAAAATTAAAAGCACTTCTGTGCTAAATGCTCCCTAAAAGACAGAAAATAAGATTTTTACATTAAAATGCCAGAAAGAAAAATGGAGAGGGCATGAAATTCTGCTTTATTTTTATCAGATGCTAGTGCTTTCAAAAAATCATTTTTGCACTGGGAGTCAGTACTCCCCTATATACTTCCCTAGCTTTGTTCCTCTTAAAGGCAGCAAGCACTGCTCTAATTGTAGCTCCTGCTATAGCCAGCAGACCACTCTGGATGGCAGGCAGATGGGACTTCCTTGGGTCGAAGCTTGGGTGCACACTGTCTCCCTTTTCTCCTCCCTGTCTTTAATTTGCTCTGGCTCTGTTTCAGGGGTATCAACATCAGGGGCACTGGGCCCGGTGAGCACCACTGCCAGCACCACACCACGAATGGCCACCAGCAGCACTGGCCGCCCCACCACCACCTCAGCTTTGGGTAGGAGGAACAGGAGCACCAGCATGCCCTCACCCATGGCTGATGTTCCTGATGAGATGACCACGCACCTCCCACCCGCCTCCTCCCAGCTCCCCCCAGCTGGTGCCGAGAGCTGCGACCCTATGGAAGCCCGTGATATTATGTGGTCTCGGACCCGGCAGGGACAAATGGCAAAGCAACCGTGTCCCATGGGCTCGATAGGTGAGTGAAGGGTTAAGGGGACACAGCGAGCCATCTGCATTTGTCTGTAGGATACTGCAAGTGTGAGATCAAGTTGGCTCTGGGCTCCTGTGGCATACATTCAACAATGAAGTACGTTGCTGCCCTTTGTCAGCTCTGTGTTACTTTGGTGGATTATGGCCTGACCAAAGCCTCCATTTGCTAAGCACATTGCACAGGATCCTTGTCATTGCAGGCTCTCACTGAAGGAGAGATGAAGCTAACAAGTTGAGCATGATGCACTCTAGGAAATCTTGTCTCCATAAGCTGTATGTACTGTACCTTTTTTCCCTGCTCTGTCTGTATTTGTATCCTCTGAACTCACTGACTGATATGTTGATGGCTGACACTTCATTTGTTTGGAGAAGAAGAAAAACAACAAAGCATATATTTTACCAAAACTCTGTACCTCACTGTTTGCATTCCAAAGGTTATGGCTACCCTTTCTGAGCTATTCCCTGACTGGACTCCTCAACCAACGTGAATGATTTTTCCAAACAGCCAGTATCTGGTGCCATCAGCAGGGAAAGCAGAGTGGCAACAAAGCCAAATCTTTCAAAATGCTTTACAGCTTGTTGCATCTTGCTTCTTTTCTTCTACTCTCCTGTCAGTTGTTTTCTCCCAAAAGTTTGCTTTTGGAAATTTTCTGTCCACATCAGAACACAGTTGACTGAACAGTGGGCTTTGGCATATGGTTTTAGTTTACCCTATTTTAACAAATGCTGTTTTCAAAAAGAACTTATTTTTCAAGCTAGTCTTGGTGTCATGCCCTGAAAACTTGCTTGCCAGGAAGAAATCGGAAGATGGAGGAAATTGCCTGAAAATAAGGGCTGGAGGGATCTGGCTTGCAGAGGAGACTATTAATTCTCCACTCCACTGCCCTGGAGAGCCATTCACACCTGTGTATTCAAATTCTGACTCTCTCTTGAATTCAGTGAGATCACGGTGGTAAAATGTACCTCAAATATAAGAGGCATAGAAAGACGTCAGTGGTGAGAGTACGTAAAGAATGTTTTTACTCAGCCCTGCTTGGTAAAAAGGTATGGTGTGGTTCCCAGAGAGAGGAAGAGGTAGTCTGAACTGAAACTGCAAGAAGGGAAAATGATAGAAAGGGAAAATGAAGGTTGGATGCAGAGAGCTATTTTCTGAGCAGAAGAGCAAAGGACTGCACGAAAATAGCTAAGAAAATAAAAAAGAACAGACCCAGCTTGTTGACGGTTTGGAGTAGGCAATAAGCCTTTCTGATCTCTGTTTTCAGTGATTCATGTCATTTGTTAAAAGCTGTGGTACGTTAGCAGTGGGCCTCTTCCCACTCCCTTTGAAGGCATCAGCAAACCCTCACTGGTTTTAATCGGCACTGCCATCAGACCTAGTATGTAATTCACTCCCCTGTTGAAAAGTTTGGCTCTGCAGGGCAGAGTGCTTTACAGGATGCAGAGTCTTTCATCTGTGTACTGGCTTTCTGCTTTCTTGTTTTTTAGAAGTCTTTAGCTGCACCATTTTGGATGTGTTTCTCTTTGTCCCGAAACTCTTTACTGTCTTTTGCAGCTGGGATCTGGGAGGCTCATGCCAGACAAAACTCTCCTCTAATGTCTGTCTTGATGGTCAGGGATGGATGATAAAACTCAGCATTAATCTTAGCATTTATAGCACTTAAAGTTTTTTATTTTTTCCACCCAAATGGTTTAATGAAGATCCAGAGCAGTAAAATATTCATAAAACATCAGGGGACAAGGAAGTAGAAGCTTGTGATCTGATCCTGAGACATTAGTGGTGGGGCAGGGCAGGCAAAATGGCTAGGCCAGCACTTGGGGTGCTGGCTCAGTGATTGAGATCCAGCTTCACTTTCTTATTGCCTGGGAACTTATCCTGCCTGACCTGAAGCAAAGCCCTCTGTCCATAGTCTTTATCTGATGAAGTCAAGTATGTGATCAGTAACACTGAACGCAGTGGCTTTCCTTTTCCAGGTGTTGCAACTTTCCGGTGTCTTGCACCAGATGGAATCTGGGAGCCCCAGGGACCAGATCTCAGCAACTGCTCTTCTCCCTGGATCAACCACATCACTCAGAAGGTAAAACCTTCCACAACCAAGTCTGTGTGCAGTTCTTGTTTGTGGCGAGAAGAGGGAGGAGGAGGTGGTGGGTGGGCATATGAAAATGCCAACTTATTGCAAAAGGAAACTTTCCTCTGCAGGCATCTCCAAGGATTTTCTCCTTCCATGCAGTGCAGGATAAATCCTGTAGCTGAGAAATCTGTACTGAAGAAAGGCAAGCTCAGTATGAAATGTTTGCATTGTGCTACTGACTTTTTGTTCTTTTTTCCCAATTGTAAAAGGACTAGTAGAATAGAAAATAACACTGCAGTAATGTGTTACTTTTTACTCCTAAGTCCCTTGATGAATGTTTTGTAGCACTTCATCATTTATCACTGTTAAAAGTGCATTAACATGTGACAATGGAAGTTCAAGACAAGCAGAGCTTATTTGGTAGCAATATGTTGAACATTTTTGTTATTAATGCACAGTGGTGCTTTCAGCTGATTTCATTACAAACAGAGACCAGATGTGTGTTTACGCCACAGAGTCTGTGGGCTGAATCCTTATTATAGCAATTTGTGTGGATTTATTTGCTCCTTTAGCAGGAGCAAGAAAGTCCCAGTGTTGCAGGCTAGCTGCGCTGCAGCACAGTAGCGGCACTGCACTCCAGGAGCACTTGTGCTCACTGGTGAATAGGTGACCTTACAGATGAGCCCGTTTGTCTTTCTCCTTCCCATCTCCTATCTTAGCTGAGGCTCAACAACCTGTGAATAACTAGCGTTGACACCCCCAGTCAATCCCATCCCACTTTGTCTGTATTTATACCCGTGCCTCCCCAAAACGAGGGAAAGACATAAATTAAGGCAAAGCTACAGTGACACAGAACAGCTGTTAGGAAGCCCCTGGTACTTCCTGGTGCTTTTGTCCCGCACAGGAGAGTGGGCAGCTCTCCTGCCACATGCTCAGGCTAGCTGATTAATAAAGACTGCCTTTGCTGCCATTAGCAGCTGTGCAGTTCTTGTTTTATGACCCACGTACTTATCCTGGAGGGGTTAATATTGCTTACTCCAGTCATAATTCACCCTGGCGGCTGGGAGACCTCTTGCTGCTCAGTGAAGATGGCTAGGCCATTAGCCATTAGCAGAGGGAAATAATAGCCTGCACTGATGAAATTTCCATCAAGGTTAGGCTTACTTTATTTGAAACCACAGCTATCATTTGCGTAACAAATGAGCCCCATTTAATTTGTTATGCGCTTTCAAAGCAGCTAAAATTGAAGAGCCAGGTTTTCAGAGATGCCCAGCCCAGCAGGCCACAACTTGGGACTGGTTTTTTTTTGTTGTTGTTGTTGTTGTTGTTTTTGCGGGGGAGTGGGGTGGAGGAGGAAGAAAGTGTTGTTTTTCCGGAGGAATTTAGCTATGTTCAACTTTGGAAACCTTTCACAAGTTGGTGGGAAGACAAGGGGTGTCTGACAGACTGCTCTGCGTCTAACCTTTTTGTGCCTGAGTGGCTGGGATTCTGAGACCATGTGGCCTAACCACTATGGAACGCTGGATTTCAAATTACTTGTGAAATAGCCAATGGCCACGCGTATCCCTGCGTGAGTGAGGAGCTTTAAATCACAATTGTGCTTAGAGTCAGGTTTCACACTTCCCCGCTATGGGCAGGATACCACTGCCCTGAACGTGCTCCTTTGGTTCTCTAAAGCTGATAAAGGAGCCTTCTTCCTCCAGGGCAAAGCCAGCTCCCCTTTTGGATCCTGTGAGGCCAGCTGGAGGAAGAAGTAAGCCAGCCATGCAATGGAGGTAGGGTATGTCTGCCACCTGCAGCCGAGCTCTCCTTTGTCCCCAGCTCTCAGATCCTCCCTGGTCACCCATCCCACTGCCTCTGTAATCATAGCACTGCATACAAAATGAGTAGAAACACTTAGGCAGTCAAGATTTATACGTACCCACTCTGTCTTCATTCTTGTCTGCTGTATGCCTCAGAAATTCTTACTGCAACCTGCTGGGTCCAAACTGCTCAGGAAGAAGGATGATGGGATTCACTTTCAGCCAAACCGGAATGAATGGCAGGGGAATGCCATACTTGCTTTCATGTATCTATAGTGAAGTAAGGATTGTTACTTGCTTCTTTTCTTTTTCCTGCTGTGCTCAGACTGTACATTGGGTTTTTGCCTGCTTGCATCATAGTATTAGGTTTTACAACTCTCTGTTAGCTTCCATTAGAGTTATTGTGCTTGATGGAAGATCAGAACAAATGTCCGCTTCAGCAATTCATTGCCCCCTTGACATTTACTTTAACTTTATTGTTGGTGCCTACCATGCCCTCGTAACATAGCAGGAGAATAAACTTGCCAGCGCTATTGAATTATGCACTGCTGTGTGGGTTATTTCTAGACTGAAGCAGTAAAAGGAAGCAAAAAGGTCAGCTTTGGATACATTGCATCGTTCTAATCATGAGGTCATACGTTCAGCCTTAGCCTGTTTGTTTTACCTCTTGCTTTCATCAGTACTGGCCTTTGCGCAGTATGTGATATGCCTGAAAATGTCTTTTCCTTACTGCAGCTTTCAGTTGAGGGTGATTCGTGTGGGAGAGAGGCCCCACTAGGCTCAATTTTGAGGCTCTGAAAGAGAGAATAACCTCTCTAGTAGAATAAAAAGTGTTACATCCTCCAGGAGTATCCAGGTGACGGCAAAGTCCTAACGATACCGCAGTGCAATTCTGCATCCAGATTGCTTCTGCCAGTTTGTGTTCAGTGCATTATAGTGTACTTGAAGCAGCAGATGCTGCAGCTGGCAGATTAGTAATGGGATGTTAAATGCAGATTCCTGAAAGTTGTTTGAATATAGTTTCAAATACAGTTTTTCACTGTTCTCTAGATCTGTTGTGCTCTGGAGAGGACAGCCATACACCTCTTTGTTGGACAGCCAGCATTTGTAACGTGTCAGTTATATCCTTAGGTATCATCCAAGAAAAGGAAAAAAGCAAAGTTGAGTGGAACGGCATTTTCTTTTTCAGAAGAAGGGTGGTAGATGTGCTCTGACTGTATTGCATGAATGATCATGTGCATGTTGAAATCTCTACTAGGGAAACAAAATGGCCACGAAGTCTTTGCAGTATTGAAAGCTGTCCTATAGCCCCATGCTAGCAGCTGGTGGTGCCCGATGAAACCTGTCAGATGTTTGTCCCTTCAGAAAATGACATCAGCTCTGTGGTCATTGGAGCTGTGAGCCACTGGTTTAAAAATCCTCATTCAGACTTTCATACCATCCCTTTATATCACTGTTAGCCCCAGGCTGCAGGAAAATATTTTTGCCACTGAAGTTTCGTCACACTTGCTGTCTTCCCCAGCATCTTTTTCCTCTGAATTTTTCTTTCATAAATTGTTCTTTGCAGTTTCCCCCATTTTTATTCTATTGACCTCTTCTACAGTTGATTGCCTCTGAGAAAGGTAGGAATGAAGCAGCAAACATGCTACAGGAGAGTTGTTAGTCTTTCCAAACAAAACTCTATAATTCATAGAGTCATTTCAGTTGCAAGGGACTCTTAAAAGACCATCTGGGAAACAGGGACACCTACAGCTACATCAGGGTGCTCAGAGCCCCATCCAGCCTGACTTTGAGTGTCTCCACCACATCTCTGGGCAACCTATTCCACTGCTTTACGTCTACTATTACAAATTCTCTTCTTTGAGTATACGAAGCAGGCAAGAATTTATGCCCTATCTAACAACTATTACTTCACAGTCATTTCAGTTGTAAGAATAAGAGAGATAGTAATGCAAACTGGGAAAATGTTAGCAAGTGTTACACAGTGCAGTTTCAGGTGTGTCGATGCTCATTTATAAGTCTGGATGGAAACCTGCCAGCATGCTCAAATGGAGGGGGAGCAATTTACAACAGAGACAGAGGAATCTGTTTTGTGTGTTTGGATTTTGACAGGAAAAGCATTCTTTCCTTCAAATTAGCATTCCAAGACGAGATTTAAGCAGTTCGCAAAAAAGCTAAAAATCACCCAGAACAACCAGAAATTAGATTTGATTTGAACAGAGTGCTTTCTTTTATCCCACAATCCACTTTTTGCTGCTTGTTTTTATTTTTTTTTCAAATTCTAATTTTTTAACAGTCTATGCAGGGAAAAAAAAAAAAAGATTCAAGTCAGAAAGAGATGCAGTATTTTTACTTCATTTATTTTTCTTCAGTCTTGCAGCAGAAAACTCAGTTACTTGTGCATTTTTCTTTACTTCATGCCTGCCTCACAGTGAGAACTTCACCCTCTAAGAACCTTGTAGGATTGTTGCCACTTCCTGTGGATGGTGGTGACTGTGTCAAAACTGCATGGAGAACACTGCACAAGGAGCTTTCACATGAAGCTCCCAGAAGAATGAGGGAAGCTGGCATTACCATGTCATATGGCCATCATATTGTGTACTCTTTGCAATATACTCACAGGCAAGATGGAAAAAATGTCTCAGCTCTGTTGTGGGGGCTTGTAGCTGCTGCTTCTGAGTGACACTGAAGAAAGAAGTCTAGAAATAAGTGGTGGTGCCAGGATATAGGTCATTAGTTCCTCAACCAGACACACTCTCCAAAGATGCGTCAGGAAATTTGAGTGCTTGGAATGAGTTTATGACCCAAGACTTGGTAAATGTTGAGTATTAATGTGTCTTTTCTCAGGCCTTTCTTCAATTTTGGAGTTTTTATTTGGTCAAACAAGAATTTTTCAACGTTGTTTTTAGAACTGGTGATCAGTGTAAGATAAAAGGAAAGGAGTCTATTAATGATCAGCCCACGTTGTTTTTGCAGACAGGTAGGAGCAGTGATAACTTGCTGTTCAGTAGAAGAGCCTTGTTCCAAGAAAAAGAACACTCTTGGGCTTGCCTTTGTAGCAGCTGAGCAATTATTTTTGAATAGGCCAGTCTGCAAAGATGCATCCAAGAGAAAAGGTAAACATCAAATGTGAGTAGCAGGTTTTTTTTGAGTAAAAGCACTTGCACTTCTGCAATTTTCTGTAAGGTTTACAAAAACATTGTCTGTCATGATACACGTTAAGCTTCAGGGACAAATTGCAGGAAAATCTTGAAGTTGATTTCTTTACATAAAGGAATTTGATGGAGCTATTCTTTAATGTGCTGGGTACCAACAGAGGAGGTAAAAAATTAGCCTCTATGCTGACACGTGGCTTTCTTCAGCTGCTTAGGAAAACAGGCAGCTATAAGGATACGATCTGGTTTCTATGGCATTTGCTTTGTGTGTAATAAGGAAGAAATAATTCAGTTTTTGAATATATGTTATCATTGCTCTATTGGGAAGAACACCACATTATCTCCTCTATTTGTCTTATCTATGTCATCATATGGTTTAATTCTCCGAAGATGAGCATATGAACATCTTCAGTTAGATCTCATTAAATCAGATGGGCTGTTGCTGTCAAATTGATGGAAGTAAGTTATTCATTTATAACTGAGCTAATTGATTTACTGAGAGGTAGAAGCTCTGCCTGCAGTATTTCCCTAGAATCCTGTTTTTATAATAAGCACCAGAAATTGAGAGAGGAAGATAGATATCTGATTTCTTACTGTTAGAAGATGAAACAATTGGAAATTTCATGTGAAGAACACAGTGGAGTTGGTCATTGAGCCTGACAAAGAAGTGGGAGCTTCATTTAAATGTCATCCTGTGTAACTTCTCTTTATGCCTGACATATTCCCCATGGATATGCATTCCAGATCAGAGTAGTATATAATGAAGAGGGTCAGAAAGTTGCAATAGTACTTCTGTGGTGAATTGCTTATAGAAAGGCCATAGGACCAGTTGCCCTACCCCGAGTCCTTGTGGTACAAGAAGGGAAAGGTGCAGAGGGATAGGAGAGCAATACAGAGCCAGTAAAAAAGTGATAAGCCTTGAATTAAAAAAAAAAAAAAAAAGAAAAAAAAGAACTTCCCAAATAATTATGCAGTGAATTCCACTACAGGTGATTCATTAATTTTATGACTCAATTAGGCAATAAAAATCTTTTAGTAGGAAATACAGCCAAACAGCATACTTGATTTTCCCTTCCGACAGGCCTTTGTTTGAAGCCTTAAGCCTTTTGTTCCTGAGTTAGTATGCTTTTAAGCTAAGAATCACTAGGCTTATTACAGAAGTAGCAGCCATTGTGGTGAGGAGTACATCTCCTGTGTGCAAGTGGTAAGTGTTAAGCTAGTGCCTAATTAATAAATCCATGTAATGGGAATTGACAGTATTTTTTCTCCTGTTATTCTGGGCTGTGTCATCTATTTTTGTTCCTTTTGCAACGAACTTCTTTTGTGTGGGAGTTGTAACAGAAATCACCTATTCCCTATCAAATAATCTTCTGGAATCAGAATCAGCTCTTTCTTGACAGGAGAGTCTATATACACGTTTCCTTCCTGAGAGCATTGCTTTGCGCGGAACTGACTCAGTTACGCCTGTGAGGCTGAGAAGACTGGATTAATGTCAGACTAAGTGCTAAGGGTCAACCTTTTATCCTGCTTTCTCCATTGCAGATGAAGTCAGGAGAGATGGCTGCCAATATTGCCCGAGAGCTTGCAGAGCACACCAGAAACCACTTGTATGCTGGTGACATCACGTACTCCGTGTCTGCCATGGTTCAGCTGGTGAACCTGCTTGATGTGCAGCTCCGAAACCTGACGCCAGGTGGGAAGGACAGTGCTGCACGCAGCTTGAATAAGGTAAGAACAAAGGTCCTGGGGAAGGGACGAGAGGCTGGAGAAAGGTTTGGCTGATCCTGGAGAGCTGTTAGAAATCTCTTTCTGAACGGGTGCCATTTGAAGGCAGTGATTTCTTTCTTAGTAGACAAAAGTACCTGGCAGTTTTTGTTTACAGTGTATTTTATTCTGTTGAAAAATGAAACAGTTGTAAATGCCGAGTGTTCTGTTGGTGCTGGGAAATGTATACCCTTAGATGTGTAGATGGATAAATTCCAGGCACTTTGTCATGGTCTCAGCGCTCATAGCTCAGTATGAGAATAAGTCAAGTGATACCATGGCAATTATTGTGGATTTGTGCCAGTGTGACTGAAACCAGAATTTTGTGTAGCGTTTCCAATACTGAATCTGTCTGAGTAATATAAAACAGAAAATCTGAATATTTAAAACTCAAAAATGCAGAGTCTGATTTTTGATTTTTCATTGTTTAACATCAAAAAATGCTGAATGTGAAGTTCAAATGGGCACTACTATGCATAAACATAAACAAATAAAAGCAAGCAAAAATTTATTTACATTTGAGATACATTTATCAAAGAAACATAGGATGTCAGCATATTTACATCTGAGGTGCTGAAGACAACTTGGTATTAGAGGGCCTTTGAAATGATTGCCTATCATGTAGCCCAGAAATACTTTTCTACATGATGACTCTGTGGTTTCTTTGCCCTCTGCCAGAGTTAAGTGTACTTGCTACATATTAAAGGCGCTAGAAGTTGCCAGTTGTGGGAGAAAATACAGGCTGTGGAGTCTGCAGGAATATATTTAAATGTAGGGTTTCCTTGGCCCAGGGCCCTCTTCATCGCAGAATCTCATGTAAACACATGGGATAAGACTTCCTTGAAATTCAGGCAGTGCACTGTGCAGGCCTGTCATCAGAACAGCAACCAACTGAACCTTGTGGCTACCAGCATACAGCTTTATTGGCCACCTACTTAAAAAAAGATCCCAAATTTTGCTGTTAGCAATGTAGCTGGCTCTGACAATCCTGGCATCCATGTGAGTGTAAAGAGAATTTGATTGTGAGGTTATACAGGGAAAAAACAATCCCAGCTAAGCTTGAAATTTCTTCTGTGTCTTCAAAAGAGACATATTTTTCAGAGAAGTAACATTGTCTTTTTGTTGTAAGATATTACTGTTGACATATTCTCTTTTAAGTGTGAAGGGCTTCAGGATTGTTTAAGATTACAGCTGCGTGGGAACTGAAGTTGTCCTGCGTATCATGTGCTTTGCATGTGCTGTGAATTGGGTTATCCTGATGCTTGTAATTAATGCTGCTTCCAGCTATTTTATAACCGTGTCAGAAATAATTGTATTAACTGTTACATCAGCATAACATTTCTGTTATAATCAAACCATGGTTTTGTTTGAAATTATTGTGATATCTGACAATATGAGGTAAAACCAGCAATTAATGTCGCATACTAACAGGTTTCATGATTGTAGTCTGCTTGCTCTTCTGAATATGCCCTAGCCACACCCAACATTTTGTCACTTCAGCTTTGCAAGCACATATTTTTCATCTTTTAAATCCCACCTCCTGCTGTTCACTCCGATGATACAAAATGGGGCTGTGTCTTGGTGACGGGTGGGAGTAACCAAGGGGACTGACAGGTTCGGTGAGGCAGAGCCACTCAGCTCTGCTGTCACTCCTGTGGTTCCCTTTGCAGGTTTTTCATCCACCATCAGCTTTGCACAAGCAGCTTATACAAATCAATTGCACTCCACATTAAAATTCTGGACCGTGTGGAGTCCTGCAAAACAGCGACGCGAATCAGTGATCCAAATGACAGGTTCGGTAATTTACTTGCTCTCATTCCCCACTTAATTCTTTAGAAGAGCAACTGTTCTGTGTTCATTTAAGAATGCATGAATTTGGCTTGGAAGTAGTATTGGGCAAACAAAAGGCAGCAGAGTTACTGCTCCTTTTTCCCCTTCGCTGATCAAGAGTATTTCCAAAAAAAAAAAAAAGGGAAAAAGACATTTGCAAGGAGTTTTAGTTAGTGTTGTTTGGTCAGAAAGGAGAAATAAAGTGAGCACTAGCCATTGAATATTCTTTCAATCATTAAAGGAAATGTGCTGGGGATTTGCCTTCATGCTCTATCTGAAAGTAGTCACCTGTGCTCTTTTGCTTTTGTCTTTTTTTTTTTGTACAAGCTGATGTACAGTGAATTAAAATAAACTGGCATAATCAGAGTTTTTAAAAGCCATCATCTTTCAGGAGTCACTTTCTTGTCACTAAAAGCTTCATGCTTTCCACTGGATCAGGCTTAATTAAGGTAATAATTGTTGTGTAGCAGACTGGTGAGACCCCCAAGTGGATAGCTCTGTAATTTCCAGCGTGGCTTTCTTTGATCTCCATTTGTCTGTAAAGTCTTCATAGGGCCACGTTTACCCAGGGGAGGATTTCTACTGTTACAAATTGATGAATTAGAAATTGAAATTAGGCATTGCACAATACCTCGGTGTATTTTGTTTGTTTCGGAGCCTCAGAACTCTCAGGGACAAATCTAGCTCTCAGCTGTTCTAATGGGATGGCACTGCCATGAGTTGAGAGCACAAGTCACCCCCTAATCTCCCTGGAGATTCTCCATCTCCATTTTCAACCCAGGCAGATCTGCAAAACACAACCCAGCAAAAACAGTGGCTTTGAGCAGCCAGACTTAGTTGCAGTGTTGCAGAGCAGTCTCATGTTTGCTCATTGTTGCAGACAGCCTGCTAAGTTCCATCGAGATAAATAAGTGCCTGTTTGAATTTCACAACACACTGAAGTGCAGTTATCTGGTAGGAGGCATGCAAGTACATATCAAAGTATAGTCTTAAATGTGGCTCTTATTATAAAGGTGGGATTCTTTATGGAAAAGCTATTCAGCATATGAAGTGTTTAGGCCCAGTGCTTACAAAGGAAAGGACAACTCAATGTGAAAGAGAATTGGAAAGCTTAGCCCTTAAGAAACAGTTTAATCTAAAGAGGAGAAAATGGCCTCAACTGGGAATATTAAATCTGATCCACATTTCATTCTTTTGCAACCTCTTAGGTGGCCCTTTATGCATTCAGAATCTCTGGGCAATGCACTCTCCTGCAGTTCTAGGCGTGACCACAAAGCTGGGCTCTGCCTGGAACCAGAGAATTGTGCAGGCATGTCAGGATGAGTCCCCACCACTATCCTGCATACAGCTTGCTCCATGCTTGCCCAAAGCCTGCTGCAGCTCAGCATGCCATCAGCACTCTCCAACTGCACAGAGCCCACACCTCTCTCGTATAAATAACAATTAGCTCGTCTTTTCAAGCCTTGTTTGACATGGGAATATCATGTGCTTTCCAAGGAAAGGTGGTCTCTCAAGTACCTCCACCTTACTTCTCCCACCGTCTAACAGCTGCTCTTGCAAAGTTGCATGTGTGGGCTTTACTGAAAAAGGACTAACCTGTATTTCTGGATCCCATCCTTCCTGCCTTTCACTGCTGCCTAACTCACATATTTCCTTTGGTTTGGTTTGGTTTTAGGAGCTGTTTAAAAGAGAAACAAGGTTTTTACGTAGGCATTTTCTTCAATTTTTCCCCTTGTTCTGTCACTAACTTGTTTTTTCTATTCCGTCTTTAATCTGCTGTCTTTATGGACTCAGCTTCAGAAAAGGGAGCGCTCTTGCAGGGCCTATGTCCAGGTATTTCTTGTGTTTTTAATACACGTCCAGTTGTTTGACTGAATGACTGTGAAGTGGTTCTTGTCTGTCAATCTGATTTTTACTGTCTTTGTGGCAGCAAGCTTTAAGGTTAAGGTTACAGGATAATATGACTTTCAGTTATTCATTTTCCCTCCACACTTGCCCAGTTCCACAGACTTAAAAAAAAATCTTGGGAGGAAAAAAAAAAAAAAAGTGGGAGAAAATAAAAAGAACTCTGATAAGACCTGTTCAGCCATTGCAGTAAGCAGAACTATATGGATGCATAAAGAATGCTGAAGTCCTGCTCGCAAAGATGTTTCCAAACCAGTTGGGTTTCACTTGCAACATGTTACTCAAATAATGGCTGTATGCATATTCTTGCTTTTCCTTCTTCTCCTCTTGCACTTGCAAATTTAGAAACAATTCAAAATTGCGGCTCTTGGCATAAGGGAGGAGGTAGAATCATAATGAAATTCAGTGTCCTTACAGAGGGATGTAAGAAGGAGGAGAGTGCTGAAAACTAAATATAGGATTAGGAACATAACGTCCCATAAAGTTCACCCAGCTGCAGCCTGAATTTTGCAGGCTTGCATTGTGTTTTACATGAACAAAGTCAAGACCCAGTGTCTTGGAAAGACTGCTTCTAGTCTTTACAAGAGTGAGGTCTTGGCTTATGACATTATTTATCCTGTCACCTAGGCTTTTATAGCATTTGCTCCAGTGACTTTTATATAAAGCTGTTTGTATACTACGGGTGAGTTAATACTGCTTTAAGAAATGTGAATGTTTTACCCCCTAATTTCTGTCTTGTGCTTATGGACTTCAGTGTTGTACTTATGGATGGTTGGTCATTATTCATATGTGTGTGCAAAACAAGTGTGAAAGTGAAACCCACATTTCTGGAAGGGACTGCCTATGCCTGCTCTATTTCTGCAAAGTCAAGCTTCCTAGCCATATTGACTTTATTTTGTGAGTACATGCTTCATTTGGCGTGTGGGATTAGGTGGTTTAGATTTCTAGGGCATTAAATATAACAATGCACCTCTGTGCTGTTAGCCTGTCTGTATTTCCTTTGGATATGGTTGTGCCAGAAAGCCATCTCTCATCTATTTCCTTCCTTATACATTAATGGATAAAGACGAGTTGTGGAATTATACATTTGTGGCTGGTCTGACCTTTCTTAAGATCCCAGAGAAGGCAACTAGAATTTTAAGGAATGTTTGCAATGCATTACTTACTCTCCAGCTAGCTGTCTTGTCCACTGGTGAGAGTGTAAATGTGATTAGGCTGGCTTGACCATGGTTCATACAACCCTGTCGGGGATCTTGGGTACTGCTCAATCTGTAGTTGTCCTTTCCCTGGCTGCACGGGAGCATTCTACAGACTTAATGCATGCTCCTGGTCTTCTTGTCTTCTTTCAAACAGTAGTGTATAATGGACATAATATACTCCACAAAAGTTTGGCATTGATATGTGCACAAACTTAAACTTACCCTTAATTTCAAGGACTCCTTGCCTTTCACTTTGAAAGGCTACTGGTGTGTTTAAACATTAATCATTTGCCTACCACTTTAGTAGACAAAAGCTGATGAAAGCTCATTGCCTGAGCTGTTTAGTATAAATATGGACAAAGCTGGTAAATGTATTGAAAAGGACAGTCTGGTAATGGAGGACTTGAAGAATGAATTGGATGACCTAATTGAACCTTTCGACTCTACTTTGTATTATATGGGGGTAAAATAATGTATCTAGACATATTTTCATACAGTATGTTTCCATTTGCAAACCATGTAGCTAAAGTCACAAAAAAATCTTGTGGGAGAGAGTTCGTCTGTAATAACAACTGGATGTGACTGCACGTATTCCTGTTATATGCCACTTATGCTTCACAGGCAGTGAAATGTCTGAACTGTCAAAATAATTTAAATGGAGAAGTCCTGGACTTTTTGAAGTTAATGGGAGGTGGGAAGTCCCTAGAAATATGTCACCAGTGACATAGAGATTGAGTTTTCAGCCTTTTTGCCGTGATCTCCTTGTGCTAATCCCTTTGTCATGAAGAGTGTCGATGACTGAAACCAACACACGGGGCTGTTGTATGTGTTGAAGTGTAGCTTCAGTCCTCATTAGACAAAGGAAAACACAGTGCAAAGTTTATATGAGAGATGCCCACTAACTGTAAAAATCAGAAGTACAACTGAAAAAAGGTGGATTTGAGAAGATTTAACTTGAGAAGATAATAATTACTAGTATCTGTCTTAATGGTTTATTGGGGCTGACGAACTTGTGGCAGTTGAGTTGTAAAGCCCTCTTGAGCCCATAGTAAATTAATAATTTAAATAAAATGGTAATCTTGTGAGTTAGTCAAAGATTAGACTGTGAGAATGCAGTATCAGATTGTCACCTTATCTTTCTTGGTAATACCATATTTTAAACAAATAATCAATTAGATTTGTCTGTACAGTGCTTCAATATTTCTTGAGTTGCAAGCTCAGGAATTTTCTTTTTACTGAAGACAGAGCTTACAGAAGCCTCTCCTTTAGTGGAAAATGTGGTAAATGCTGTTTTTTCTCTCAAAAAAATAATACCCAATCTAATGGGTGATGTAATAATGCATGTTAATAGAATGACAGGACAGCCGACTGGGGATTTGCCCATCTCAGTGACATTTAAAAAACTTCCAGAGGAGCTTTAAGAGGCTCCTAGACTCCTAGAGAAGGTGTTATTGCTGAGGTGGATGTCCAGTATGCATGGAGCGAGCTTGGAAAGGTGTTCTGTTGGCTAAGGAGCGTTAGGCCAGGTGTCTGACTTTTCGGTGGCTGAGAATGATCTGTGCACAGATTCCTCTTGAAACTGTGTCTCCCTGTGTGATCAAGCCCACCTTTATGCAACACACTGTTCTTGGCACTCTATTTTGGGAAAGGAATGACAAAATCATTGTGCAAGAGAGTGAGTCACAACAGATGACACATTTGATGGCTGTATCCTCATTTGATGACTGGTGTGTGACATAAACTCTGAATTTCTTTCAGAGTTGGTGTTTGTTCATTTTTACAAAGATCTTTCTCCTTACATTGAGGCTTTGGAGTAGTAGAAAACACTCAGCGTTTGTCTTTTGAGGACTGTGAAATTGGAATTGGTGTCAGAGATTTCTTCCATGCTCATCAGCAAGTGACACAAATGTGCTGTTTCTCAGTTTCTCATCCTACAAAGCTGTGGGCACATTCGCAGAATTGCAGAATTGTAAGGGCTGGAAGGGACCTCCAAAGGTCATCAAGTCCAATCTCCCTGCAAAGCAGGCTCCCTACAGCAGGTTGCATAGGTTGGCATCCAGGTGGGTCTTGAATATCTCCAGAGGAGGAGAATCCACACTCTATGGGGTGAATCAACCTCCCTGGGCAGTCTGTTCTAGTGCTCTGTTACCCTTACCATGAAAAAGTTCCTTCACATATTGGTGCAGAACTTCCTGTGCTCAAGTTAATAGCTGTTTCTCTTTGTCCCGTCCCTACAGACAGCTGAAAAGAGGTTGGCCATGTCCTATTGACTCCCACACTTAAGATATTTATAAACATTAATAAGATCCCCTCTCAGTCTTCTTTTCTCAGGGCTGAACAGTTCACTCAGCCTTTCCTCACAGGGGAGATGTTCCAGGCCTTTTATCATCTCTGTGGCCCTCTGCTGGACTTTCTCCCTATCTTTTTTGTACTGAGGAGCCCAGAACTGGATACAGTACTCCGGGCCTGACCAGGGCAGAGTAAAGGAGGAGGATCACCTCCCTTGGCCTGCTGGCCATGCTCCTTTTAATGTACCCCAGGATCCCATTGGCTTTCTTGGCTACCAGGAAATACTTATGGCTCATGGCCAACCTGTCATCCACCAAGATCTCCTGGGTCCTTCTCCACAGAGCTCCTCTCCAGCAGGTCATACCCCAACCTATACTCATGGTTATTCCTTCCCAAGTGCAAGACTCTACACTTGCTCTTGTTAAACTTCATCTGATTTATTGCTGCTCATCTCTCCAGTCTGTCCAGGTCTTGATGAATGGCAGCACAGCCTTCAGGTGTGTCAGCCAATCCTCCCAGCTTTGTATCATCAGCATTCTTACTGAGGGTAGACACTATCTCCTCATCAAGGTCATTGATGAAGATATTGAACAAGACTGGACCCAGCAGCAACCCCTGGGGAGCACCACTAGTTACAGGTCTCCAACCAGACTCTGCCCCACTGATCACAACCCTCTGAACTCAGCCAGTCAGCCAGTTCTCAACAGACCTCACTGTCCAGTCATCTGTCTCACGCTTTCTCAGCTTCATTATCAGGGTGTCATGGGAGACAGTATCAAAAGCCTTGCTGAGGTCAAGGTAGATGACATCCACTGCTCTCCCCCCATCTACACATCTGGTGATGCCATCATAGAAGGCTGTGAGGTTGATCAAGTGCAATTTTCCCTTAGTGAATCCATGCTGACTATTACTGATGACCTTCTTCTCTTTCATTTGCTTAGAGAAGGCATCTAGAACAAGCTGTTCCATCACCTTTGCAGGGACAGATGTGAGGCTGCCTGGCCTGTAGTTTCCCAGATCAAATCAATTCCCCTGGCTTCTGGATACACAGGAAGGATAGTAAAGGAAAGAAAAATATGAACACTTAGTACAGTAAATGAGGCCCTATTAACGTGGGAAAAAAAATAGAAGTTTGCTGTAAGATTTAGTAGGTGGAAACAAGAGCTTAATAAAGGCTCATACCACAGAGACCAACCACGTGGAGTCCTCTCAAGCACAGATGTGCACTTGATTACAGTCTGAGCTCACCTACTTGGTTTTCTTGGATATTTGGGCTGGAGCTTGGGGACATCATGAAACTGATGTCTTTTTCTGCAGTGCCAACCAGCAACCCCTTCCTGTACATAACTGTGTGCTGCATTTGAGAGACATTGCAGAAGTCAAAAACTTCCCAGGAGGTTCCCATTCTTCTTCTTTTTGGTAGAGGTACCACCTGATCCA